AGTGTGGCATACTGTGGGAGCAGTAGGAATTTCTCCCTATAAAGTATGGATTATCCAATGGGAGTACCCATGAGTCATCTCATTCCCCTGCTTCCAAACCTGCAGGAGTGCTTGACGGCCTTTGGATCTGAATTTACTGCCCCTGCTCAGGACCAGGACTTACAAAGAACTATCCTAGTTTAATTAACCTTAATGTGTGTAACAGGCATTCAAGTTAGCATAGTTCATAGGGTTTGTGTATTTCACAGTATTTTTTCCTGGTTAGCAGCTGCAACATCTCTCTATTCAGATATCCATACTAAAAATCCTTTTTTTTTCAGGTGTTGATCCTATTATATGGGAACAAGCCAAAGTTGATAATCCTGATCCTGATAAGTAAGTCCAATAGTCTGTCCAAGTATTGAAGTATTGCAGCAAGGCTTGGAAAGGGGGAAAAAGATAATAATTGCATAGTACCCTGCAGGTAACTTGGAAGAAAGTTACTCAAGTACAACTTGGCCAAGTGCTGATCCCCTTGAAAGCAGTGAGGATTACTGGCAGTGCCTGTCTTAATCCTTTTACCCATTTAGACGCTTAGGAGCTGTCTGGATAAAGAGTCTTACTTGGGTTCCTTGGAGGTGTGGTGTCCTCCATTACATGGATTATTATTGGGACTTATTTTTTGCAATTGCTGAAGGTGATGCACCTTTGTACTCTCCAGTGGTTACAGATAAATTGGGCTGGTTTCTTCATGAAAAAAGAACAGGTTGTTGGGAATATTGAGGACTCTAGAGCTTAGCAAAAGAAGATACGGTTACATCTTCCTATATGTTAATTTATAAAAGACCAACATAATCTGTAACTTTATATTAAATTCTGTTCATAATTCTTAATCCTTACCATGTGTATAAAAACATGTTGTAAGAAATATTTGTGTTCTCATAGGCTTATTCCTGTGCCAATGGTGGGTTTCAAGGAGCTGCTGAGAAGATTGAAGGTCCAGGATCAGATGACCAAACAGCATCAAACTCGATTAGATGTAAGGCTGCTCATCTTCATCCTGACTTGCTATTGCCAAAGGATGTGCTATTAAATGCATCTGCCCCTGTGTGTTCAGAAGTGAAACGTGAACCATGTTCTTAATATATTCCTTAAATAGATCTCTTGCCCCAAAAACTGAGCAGTGTGGTTTGGCTTTCATTTGTTTCAGGTTCAAGCTTACTCTTTTGTTATAGGCTAATCCACACCAGCTCCATTAAGTTGTCATAGACTTGTTTAAATTGGGCAACCAATTTTCCAGTGCCTTCTGAAAATCCCAGTTGCATATAAAAATAAACACAAAGCAGAACAGTGGAGGTAGAAGAAAGCTTTCTAAAATCATCTGGGTGGTGTGGTGTCATGAAACTCACGGTTTTAAATCAGGCTTAATGTGTTGTGTTACCAAAAACCTTCTCTGACTTGCAACTGACTCCCATCTCCCCTGCAGATAATATCAGAAGATATCAGTGAGCTGCAGAAAAACCAAACAACAACTATGGCAAAAATTGCACAGTACAAAAGGAAACTGATGGCACTCTCGCACAGAACTTTGCAGGTAACAGGGATAATCTAAATACCTCCTTTGACACAGTCTAGTGCCACAAGCATTCTCAGAGGCAAGAAGAACTTGTTCCATCTTGTGCAGGCCAGTGCTGAAAATGATTCTGACTTCAGCCAACAGGCGTTCATTTAAGTATTAGGCAGAGTTGTCAGGAAAAGCTTCAGTTCTGCCATACTTGGGAACCTTCTCTCTCACTTAACCAAAACCACAGGACTGCCCTGAGGGCTTAGAGCAGCAGGCTACATGACACAACAAATCCAGTGAGAAAGAGGCTGAAGGAAGGGCAAAGAGATATAGATGGGCTGGTTGGGAGAGGGATGGGCCACATGTTCTCTAATGAATGCCAAAGGCTTCTTTTCTTTTGTAGGTGCTAATAAAGCAGGAGATCCAAAGGAAAAGCGGTTATGCCATTCAGGCAGATGAGGAGCAGCTTCGTGTACAGCTGGATACAATTCAGTGTGAACTGAACGCACCCACGCAGTTCAAGGTGAGTGGCTGACAGTTTGGCTAACAACTCTGGCTTTTCCTCACTAAAAACACATCAGTTTTCCAAACCGTGTGTGTATGTTGGAGTCCCTTACCTTATGCGTGTCTTCCAGAACATCTAAGAATTGAATGAGCAGCGATGCTTCCAGCCCTGGAGACTCAAGGAATGGAGCTGTAAATGAGTTGTGTTTGACTTAAACCTGTTTCTCTTCCCAGGGCAGACTGAATGAGCTCATGTCCCAGATCAGGATGCAGAACCACTTTGGAGCAGTGCGGGCTGAAGAGCGCTATTACATAGATGCAGACCTCTTAAGGGAAATCAAGCAGGTAAGTATTGCTGGGTAGAATCCTGGTCTACTCCTTGACCTTGATCATTTAAGCCAGACACACGCTGACCAGGTCTACAATGTCATGTTCGTACCTTGTTTGACAAAGTCATCCTTTTAATTGGTCTCAGTGCCAGGGCACCAAGCTATCGTACAAAAGCACGCTGTGGAGATAGGCTGTTGTACAGAAAATGTTGTTACTCCTTGCTCAAAGAAACCGTGCCAGGCTTATCAGTGTGCCAAGGCCACCAGTCATGACACTTTCAACAATTATTACCTAGTAAGTCTGTGAAGCTGAACAATACTCACACTGGTTTCTGAACTATCTGCAGCACCTGAAGCAACAGCAAGAAGGTCTGAGTCACCTAATCAGCATCATCAAGGATGACTTGGAGGACATCAAGCTAATAGAGCACGGGCTGAACGAGAGCATTCCCATCCGAGGGGGAGTCTTCAGTTGACTGGTGGAGGTTTACACAGAACATGTAGTCGAGTTCATGGCTCACCTTCCAAGGCTAAAACTGTTGAGGTAAAATAAAACACTTATCCTGTAGGAGCAAAATGGTATTTTGTCTGTTACTTTTAGAATTAGCAAAGCCTCTTCTAAGCTTTTAAAATTGACCTTTGGAAGGTTTATATTTTATAAAGCTGTATATGCTTTAACAAAAGAAGGAAAACTGAATCTGTTCAGATACCACTTTACTATGAAACTATATGTACTATTGTACATTTTTTTCTTTTTTTACAACAGCATTGTCCTAAAAATGCAGTGCTGAGGGGATTGTTTCGGTTTGTGGAAAGCTTAGCCTGCTTCAGTGTTTCTGTCAGAACAATCAATCAGCACCATTGTGTAAACAGCTAATTTAAATCATTACAGAGATGGTTGTTGCTGTAACTGTGTTTTCTCTGCAATACCAGTCAATTACTGGGGCAAGCTGCAGAAAGTTCATGTTTCCAGTATCTGTCCTTCCTTTGGACTGCAAGGATCTGAAGGTTATGTTTGATCGCTTTACGTATGTGAATTACACAAAGCTTTGCTGCCCCTCTCAGTAACAGAATGTCTGGACGTTGTCTTCTGCCTTTTTCTAACTTGCCCAAGAGTAATAAATTCAGTCTGACTTTGTAATAAGTGGTGTGTGGTATTGGCTCTCAGTGACATGAGCAAAGTGGTGAGGCAGCTCACAACTCCAGGTAAGTGCCCTTCTCTGCTCCAGGCACTGCAGGTAACAGGCTGTCAAAGCCAGTGCCACAGAGCTGCTTGGCAGCCTCATTCCCCAAACCAAAATCAAAGGTGTGGCCCTTGGATTCTACCTGGGAGCAAGCACTGCAGAGCAGGTACCTCCTCACTCCATGCCATGGAGAGAGACCTGCTTTTCCCCTCAGTAGCAAAGTCACTGAAAGTAAGTGAAACAAAAAACAGTGTTCTGTGCAGTTAGGAGTTTGTACAGCAGAAACAAACGTGGAAGAGGCAAAATCATTTTTGTTCATTAGCCAAAATTAATTCCATTCATTAAATTTGAAGGATGGAAAAATAGAAATATAGCTGCAATGTCCTGGGACCTGTACTGTGCATTTGAGAGGGTTTGTGGAAGCATGATTCCATTACAATTGGAAAAGCTTATGTGGAATTCTAGTTAAGGGAGAACAGAATTAGTTTCCTTTTGGAAGCATAGTTCCAGTTAATAAAGTGTCTGCCCTGGGCAATGAGCTCTGTAAGAAATTCAGTGAGACTACAATCCTCTTTTGGGGGCTGGGGTAGCAGTCCTAAGTGAAGTCTTGTGCTGTGGGGCCCCTGCCAGACTATGCTGCTGGTATTTGACAAACACATTTCTAGAACACTGTTTCTAGTTTTGCAAACTCTTCACATTCCACCCCACTTCACAAGCTGCACTCCTATCATGCTTTGAAAATAAACTGAATCTGCAGCTTAGGCGCCCTGCAGAGGGCTACTTGATCTACTGGCCTGGGCTTTGAAAATCAAATTATCTCAATAGATTTCTTAAACAAGTCCCCCTGCTAGAGCCAGTGTTGCACACTTGAGGTATTCTTTCCAACATTTGGCTCTACTACATGCACTTAATGGCTCCAAACTTCCAGAAGCTTACCACAGCAGAGGAACACCAGCAGGGAAGTAGGTATCATCACTGGAACAGCACTGCTGCTCACAGAGTTAACTAGAGAAGAAATGAAGAGCCAAGCAACAGCAAGCTAGAAAAAACGGTTTATTAAAAGGAAAGCTGTGATCAAACAGGTGCTATCTCTTTAAAACAACGCCTACAACTAATACATTGACTTCCATTTTACTGCTCTTGAATATACCTGTAACATTTCCTCAATGGACAAGAGAAGCTAAGTTGCATCTTCCCTTTGAGCAGAAAACTACTTAAAATGCAGCTTCTTTTAAAAACAGTCCGAATTGCAATGCAGCTCATCTGTTTCACCTGTTACCTTCCCCAGATGGGTCACAGCTGCTGCCTACAATGATGGCTGTTTTGGGCACCTGCCTTCCCTTTCCCTGTTTGCCGTCTGCAGGCACGCTCTAGGTTAGGTGGGACAGTGCTGGCTTTGGAGAAATGAAGGCATGGGACGTGGCAGCCCTGGGCAGGCTCTCACGACGGGCACTGTTTGACCAGGCGGAAGGCTTCCAGGAACTCGTTGAAGTCAATGTTCCCATCCTTGTTGAAGTCAATGCTGCGAACCAAGTCGTCAATGCCATCATCCGTGAGTCCAATGTTCATATGGGAGCTGAACAGCTTCCAGGTTTGCTGGAATTCCTCAAAGGAGATGAGACCTGTGGAGGAGCATTTTACATGCTGCAGCTACATCTCCTCGTGTGGAGAACACTGGCTAAAATACAACTTTAAAGCAGCAAAGGAGGCATAACACAAATGGACATGTCAGAAGCGTGGGAGGGAGCAGGAGGACCCAAGCCTAAACAAAAACACCTCTATACATACTAAAGGAAGCTCCAAAGCAGAAGGGAACTCAGGCAGTGATCAACTGCCCACCTGCTTACCTGAATGGTCTCTGTCTATGATCCTGAATATGGTCTCTAAGTTGGATCTGTTCCGATAAATGATTTCCAGCAAGCTCGACTGGATGTGCTGAAAGACATGATCACAGTTTTTGTCCTGACACCTCTGCTCTCTGAGTTATTGCAGATGTCTTCACAACTAACAATATATTTTGCTCTCAAGAACTTGTCAGCAGTGCCTTATCAGCCAGGTGTGCGATGACTGGAGCCTCTGTGCAGCTGCAGAACGGACCATCAGCAATTTATCCCTTCCCAACAGAGCTCTTCTGGGCTAGCAGCAAGCCAGGCTGCATTTTATAACCACTGCAGAGCTGCTTCTGCTGGGCACAATTAAGAAACTGCTACTTGGAGAGTGGAATACAATTTTCCTTCTCACGAGCCTGCATCTAAAACTACCTCTAAATTTAGATTTCACATCCATCATCTATTCGTAAAATGGGCTGGGTGCCTCAGGACTCTCTGAGCTCAGGCAAGACTTCCTATCTACTTCAGTGTGGTTTTGGATTATGCAGCAACCATCCACCGTCTGTTGGTACCATAACTGATTTGCACATGCTGGGGATCTTGGATGGAAGGGGCTGAGTGCTTACCTCCTGGCTCCTCTGCTCCATGGCCAGGTCGTCCAGCCAGGATTTGTATTCCAGCATGCCATCCTTGGTGCTGCGCACCAGCTGTGGCCTCAGCATTCGCCAGGGCAGTCCCAGCCGCAGCACCGACTCCACTGCTGTCGCCCAGTTGCTCAGTGTGATCCTTCCTGTAGGGAAAAGGGAGACACCTCTGGCACACCTCTGGTAGGGGAAAGCACGTGAAGGCAAAGAACAAGCTAAAACAGTGACAGTCTAGGTGCTGCTGACAGCACAGCATTGTTTTGCAGTGCAGGCACATGCACAGCTCCCACCAAGCCTCAGCAAGCTTTTCATCATTGCAACAAATCAAGGATATGAGGCTGCAAACTTCTGAACAAAGGCAGGACGCTAACTTTGGGCATTCCATTAGAAATTTGCAGCCCGCTGCCCATTTTAGCAGCTGCTGTAACAACTGAGCTGAATTCCTATGAACAGTTTTGCTGCCAGGGAAGAAAGCAAGAAAGCAGTTCTGCCAGCCACTATATCCCTTTTCTCCCCCAGCCCACCAATGGACAGATCTCAGTGGTCACTGCACCAGCACAGCACTACTGTCTGCCAGAGAAGTAAGAACTCTCGACTCTTTCCTTAAGACTGACAGAGAAAACTGCCATGGAAGACATCCCTCACTTTCCTCTTCCCAGTGATTTTAGACTCCAGGGATGAAGGGGCCGTAGGGACCACCCAGCCCTTCTCAAGTGACACAGACATGTTCCAGGTCATCTCTTCCAATGCTTCATCAGTACTCCAGCTGAAAGGAGTTCTTCTAGGACGAGCCTCAATTACTACACATTAGGTTAATGACATCCTGCTTTTCTAGCACCCCCACCTTACGGTGTCACTCAGAGGTATCCACAGGGACTGAGTAACACAAATGACCTCTGGCAAGGTCTGACACAACATCCCCATGACAGCTGGTGACAGCTGTCAGTGAGCAGTCCCCCAGCCAGCCACAAACTCAACTTAGTCACTTCAGCCCCATCCAACCAGGCAAGGAACCCTCAGCTCTGAGTTACCTGTATTGTCCATGTCGTAGGCCCTGAAGGCACTGATGAGGGCTGAGGTGTGAGCAAAGAGCTGCTCCCGCAAGGCTCGAAAGGCTGACTCCTCTACTCTGCTGATTCTGGAGGATCCACAACAGAGAGAAGCACTTGAAGGATTTGCCATGAACCACAAGAAAAACTGCACCTTACCTCCCAGTGCTCTATCTGGCTTGTCCATGGATTGCCCAGACCCTCAGACAACTGAAAAATCAGTAACCTTTAGAAAAATCCCCTTGGAATTTTGTTAAATTCCCTTCTCAACCCTTGAGCTTTCCTCAGTAACTTCAAGTAAAAAGCTTGGTCCCTCCTTTAGAGCTATTATTTAGAAAACCAAGCTGTCAAAGTTCACCTCCGGAGTCAAACTTTCTAAAGGCTCATGAAATTTTCCCTCTGGGAATTTTGATTTGCCAAATACAGAGCAACTGGAAAGTCTTGCCTTTGGGTCATAGTGAGCATATGGGCTGTCTTGTTTGCTTGGTACTGTACAAAGTGGGGAATGAGGTCTGGTCCCAGCTTCACATAGGCTCCTCTGTTGCTGCCAATCTCATAGTAGTTTGAGGCTGAAAAGATGGTCAGCACCTAATTGCAAAAAAAGAGGCATTTGCAGTCAGTACATACATCCTGTAATATTTATATACATGTGAACAACACACCTGATCCCCTCCAGAGTGCACAGACTGTGAAAGCACAGTGTTTTATGGAGAAGAGGGGGAGTCAGGTGCCAGCTGGCCTGGAAGCCTTGCAGGTGTGAGCTCCTTGTGAGTGGTACTGGTCACACGTGGTTCTGGCCAATGCTGGGCTTCTGCAATTTTCCTGGGCTCTCTCCCAGCTATTCCGCTCTCCTGAGTCCAAGTGCCTTGACAAAGCCACTGCACTGACTGTGCATGTTCTAGGAACAGAACCTGGCTGCAGCAGCTCAGTAACACCCGTTTGTAGCTCATCTGCAGCAACAGCTGCACTAAGTGGGGGCCATGTCACGAGTGAGTTCAGATCTTTACTCGAGCACCGCACACAAGGACACTGTTTGCCTGCACAGCCATATCCCCAGCAGAGCAGGCAGCTCCACATGGCCCTGAACTAAGACTTCCGATGGAAACACACTTCAGTTACCTCCCAATAGGCCTGTTCAAGGACTTGGCATGTGCTTGAAACCCTGCTGGGAGAAACACAGAACTGAGACAAGCCACCCCCGCAGAAATCCCACTCTGGCAGGATGGAAACCCAGGTGTCCTTCACAGCACCCCCAGCTGACCTTGCGGTTGTGACAGAACTCGTAGCCTTCCTGCTTGCACTCGTGAGAGCGGATCAGGAACTGCAAGCTGTACTTCTCAAGGAACTTCTCTGTCACATCAGGCCCAAAGTAGCAGCCACCACCTCGCACCTTATTCTCTCTGCAGCCCTCCTGAGGCATGGGGTCACTCCAGAGGATGTCTAAAATCTGAAAGGATTGGACAAGTTCACTAAGTAAATACAGTTCAGTCTCTGAATCCCTCCCTAGACTGCTGCTATAACCAGAGTGCAGGGGAACAGACATGTTTGCTGCATTCCATATGAAGACTGTCACAGACCTGGGCCACCTGAGAAGTGGCAATATTGTTGGCAAGGAGCTACTGGCATATCCAAAGTGTCTGGGGAAAGAGGGACGTGCCTAAGTCAGGCCTGATACAAGCTGTGTCTTCTAGCTTTAATATGTCCAAGAGCTTGGTCTGTCTTCCTCCATCCCAAAACACAAGTCCTGGGGCAAGAACAACCAGCAGATCCTGAGGCCATTTAGCAGGCTTAGTATTAAACACCTTTGTTCTCTAGCCAGGACATTCTGCAGCCTCCAGACATACAAGTGCTAACTCAGTAACCACTGTTTGGATTAAAGCTTAATCTCTTTAACCCTGACTTCAGTATATATAGTGCTATAGTGAAAAGGTGTGCAGCACTGCAAGGTCACAGGTAATGTCAACAAAGTAACTGTGGTTTCAGAGCACATGGATGAGGCTCTCAGGCTGGAAAAACAAGGAAAGGAAGTTCCCAGCTGCTCCTCCCAGGAGGTAACAAAGGCACCCAACAAAACATCCCCATGACCTTTCAGAGCAGCCTTTCCTGGCCACCTATCACTGAAGGACCAACTGCTGCAGGAACACGGCACACCCAGCTCAGCAATCTCACCTGCTTCCACTCCTCCTGGCGAGTCCAGCACGGCTCATCCACATCCTTCAAGGAGACCATGCTGGAATAGGTGAGCTCCTCTGGCTCGGACTCACTGATGTCCACCAGCCGGCGGCACGTGTCGATTTGTTCCTGCACCGTCTGCCGGAGCCACCTGGAGAACTCCGGCCTGTTGGCTGTGCTGGGAGCCTGGGCTGGCTGGGGCTGCACACATAACCTGGGAGCTGCCTCCTTCCCTGCTGCATCACTGCCCGATGGGCTCTCCCCATTTATGGCCTGAACTTCTGGTTTTCTACTCGACTCCTTTCTTTTCTTCAGCCTTAACACAGAAATAAACTGAAAGATAGGATAGAAATGGAGCTGATAACACAGCATGAAAACCCAGACCTCCAGCTCTAATGTTCCATTGGCAGACTTCAAGTGATCCAACCTCCAAGCCCCACTCCCTTCTGTCATCAACTGTTTGCTTGACTGTGAGGAACTATTAGTGTCATCCTCCCAGACAAGCCATCCTGGATTTACAGGGGGTTTACAGCTGGGCCCCACATTCATCACATTTCACTTTTCCTAATTGACTTCATGCACACAGATTTCATCTCCAATGGGCACTATGCAGCAGAGCAAAGGAAGCATTAATGACTTATGCAAGGGTTGTCATTATATTTGGAGAAGGAAAGTGGTACTTCTCAACTAGAGAGTGAGGCAGAGACAAGTTAAATGATGTATCAAAATCCTTCTGGAAATGTAGGGGGTAAAAACAGGCTAAGGAACTGTGGGACAGCAGCTCATCATTGCATTTTTACTTCAGCACCAGCACATATTCCAGGAACCAACAGAGCTTCATCCCTTCACAGCTTATGCACACACACTAACAAACCAAAGTCTGTACTGAAACACAAGCTTGTCTAGGAAGACCATCTCTTAGAACTGTCTTGTCAACAGCTAAGCTGATGTGTAGAAATGAGCTCCTCACCACAAATCAGCAACACTGTTGTCTCTTGGAATAACTAGGAAATAAAACCTACTTTGTCCCTTTGAATTTTCTCAAGCATGTCCAGGTCAGTGGTATCAGAGATGCCCCCATGAATAATGAGGACTTTCTGATCAATCAGAGTGGCCAGGGGCAGCCAGCAAAAGACATTCTGAAACATCCTCAAGATTTTCTTCCCATGCACCTGAGAGAAAGAAACAAAGAGTTAAGGCATCTTCTAAATGCATGTCTCACATGGTCAAGGAGACGCAAACATAGGCCTACCTTGTATTTCTGCATCACTTCCTTGGTGAAACCATAGCTAGAGGAAGAGGAGAGAGGAAGCTCAGTGGGATTTTGCACAAGGCCCTGGGCACCGTGCTCAGTCCTGCACAGAAGCCGTACCGTAAGTTCACCATGTGGTCCTCGTGGTTGCCGCGGTTGAGATGAACCTCCTTGGGGTAGATCAGGAGGAAGGTAAAGAGGATAACAAGGATCTCCAGGGACTGCTTGCCTCTGTCTACAAAGTCCCCATTGAACACGTAGGACTTGGAAGGGGAAGGAAGGCCATTCTGTTAAAGCAAGGAACAGGCAGATGTCACCAGAGAGGCCTCCCCAAGGTGTCTGTATGCCCTCCCCACAGCTGCAGTCTCTCACTCCTCTCCCATGCTACAACAGATCCTTGCTCAGCTTTATCCTGTGGGCCCCAGCAGGGAAGCTGGCAGTCACAAAGAGCTGCCATTGGTATCAATCAGCACTACAAAAACAGCCATTGGCACTAATAAAACAGACGTGGATATCAGATTTCCAAGTCAGCAAGGGAATAAGCGGCTGATTTGTGAAGCCATTTAAAACAAATCAAATTGACTTGGACAACTGCATATGAATGGGCCAGTTTTGCAAAGGCTTCTCAACATGACCCATGGGATACAATGCCTAGACAGCCTCCCTCTCCAAATTTAGTGCCTACCTTGTAAAAGATGAGGAACAAGTCATCCAGCTGGCCATGCAAGTCTCCTGACAAGCACAAAGAGACAAGTCACAGTGTTTATCTTGAACTTAAAAAATCACCTATGCATAACTTCCTACAAACTATGTCCTTTATAAGTGAATCACCACTGAAATACTTGGGGAAATGCAAGCCTAGAGGAAAAGGACACGATGTAAGGCTTGAGCTCAACTCACACACTTTGCTTACAGAGAACATTTGTGTTCCACATTCAGTACATGGGGGCCACCGTGCTCTCGCTACCATTTTGTCTCTGCCCCGCCCTCCCACAGGAGCATTCCACCCCGGGGGCTGTGAGGGACCCACCACACACAGTGACCTCCTCGCTGTAGCAGGTGGAGACGTGGCTGATGTTTGGCAACTGCTTGAGGTGCTTCCTGGTCTCGTGCAGGAGGTTTAAGACATAGCGAGCGTGGAGCTGCTACTAGGAGAAAGTGAAGGGATTAAAGCAGGAAATCAGTGGCCTCTGAGCAGCACCAGTGTGGCTGCAAAGACCCCACCAGGATAGCCTGGATGGCAGAAACTCTCCCTGGGATGGCAGTCTGTGCTGACTTATGGGCTCAGATGAGGGGAATATTGGGAAACAGCAGGATGGCAGACACTTGCCCAAGGCAGCCCAGCCTCAGCACTGAGAGGGCTGGCAAGACAACCCTGAAGTCCCAGAACCTTGTGGACATGGCTGTACCCACTAGGCCACACCACCTCCAGGAGCAGCAGAAATGCCAGCCCAATATCACAGGTAAGAAGCTGCCCCTCTAGATCTTTCCTAGCTTTTCCACATTGAAGCAGTGTGAGCTTCCACATGTCCTGCAGCAATAGATATGCTCAAAACCAGGCTTGGGTGGGGACATGAGACACCATTGGTTGAGTTGTTCTCTTTGGACAAGGGATGTTCTGGTCTATTTCACAGTTCATCACACCAGCTGAAGGATGGCAGCAGAACACTGCAGTTGTATGAAGGCTTGTCTTGTTAGTACTGGGGTGGTTCTCAACTTTCACATCAAAGAACTCAACTTACATTTTAAATCAAAGTCCAAATTGCATAGCACAAAACACTATAATTGGCTGTTTCTCTCTGGGCCGTACTTACTTACAAATTGAGAAATTTGAAAAAAAATGATGAAAAGTTTCAACATGAGCTGTTGCTGATTTTTCCCTTTAAAAATGAAATTCAGGTTAATATTGGTACACTCCTATGTAAAGTGTTCAGTTTTATCAGGAGTATATTTTCAGAAAGAAGAACATTTCCATGGCATTAAGAAATATCATAGTTTCCAACCCCATTTTGTTTAGCAGCCAGCCAGCCTGTTATTCCCCAGTCAACTGAGCTTGGTAAGAAAGCTAAGACCAAATTATCTGTGCTCCACCCCCATTCAGCAAAGGGGAAAGCACGGTACCTTTTTGGGATCCTTACTTGTTTCTGTTGAAAAGCTTCCAGCAAGGCCGTGGCATGGTCAGGGAGGAGAGGGAAGGAGAGCCGGGGTCCGATGTAGGAGTCTGGCACCTCTATGGATTCATAGTCACAGTATTTTTCCAGCTCTGCCTCTTTGTAACTTTCCCCACTTACAAACATGCGACTGATAAAATCCCCTGCACAGCAGATCGGTTGGGTTGATTTTTTTTTTAAGGAAAGAAACAGACAAAAAAGTAGTTAATTGGCTCCAGGCACCATTCTAGTAATTTGCTACAGAAGAGCTGTTTGGTTGGACTGGCACTCAGAAGCAGCCACAGCCATGAATGCTGGGTACTGCTTGGTGCTGCTACAAAACTTGCAGTGGGGGAAAGGCTACAGAGACAAATCCCCATGTGCAGTGTGCATCATTCTCTGATAACATAGTGAGCTTTGATGCCTCCTTCCAGCTCCTAAGAGCAGGAATAGCCCCACATGCCTTACACAGCTCATAGCCTCCAGACAATTCACTGTCTAATCCTGATGTCATCACTCTTGAGACTCTTGGCCAGATGTGCCATCCTGAAGATTGCCCAGCACTGGGCAATGAATAGTACAGGGTGCAGCCTTTGGAGCTGCTGTGCCACATCTACAAACAGCACACAAACTTACTCTCTTTGCTGCTGCTTGGTGTGAACTGGTCCATGAGGTAACTGAAGAAGTTGTGAAGCTGCAGGAAGAGGGAGAGCCCATCATTCACCACAGAATGAAGTTCAACAGAGTAGCAACTTATCATGATCTTCTTTCTGGAAGGTTTCCTCTGCCCTACTCATGCTGTCTGGTATGTACAGCAACTCTCATTGCACCAATTCAAGTTTTGACTATCTTGAGATCAAGTCAAAACAGTGGCTTTACCTTCAGCCACAGGCTGAGCTATGAGCCCTTCCTGACCCTGAGAGCAAGGCAGACATGTAAGAGAATTTTAATCAAAGTTAAAAATAACAAACAAAATAGACTTGCCTATTGTGTTCAGACTCCAGAAAAGCTCTGTTAAGTGGCTATTAGGGCATGCTTTGGAGGGTCATTACTTTGTGTTTTATGCAACACAAGCAGGCAGGGAATCCATCCATAGGTTAAAAAGGGGCAGGAAACGTAGCCCCTGGCCACTGCAGCACTTGGAGAGATCCCAGCCAGCAGCCAGAAAGCCAGACTGGCACCGAAAGCACCTTGCTATGTTTTGCTTGCTGCTCTTTTCCTTGGCACCATACCTTGATCTGGTCCTGCTCGCAGGCATACTCAATGGACTGAAAGATCCTCCAGGTGCAGCGGCGCCGCATTTCCAGCCGAGCCACGTGGCGCCGATACCACTGCTGGATCAACACAGCTGCCTTGAAAGCTGGGGGCCAAGAACAGAACCAAGCTGCTGAGCAGCACTGCCTGCACCTGAGGTACCTGCAACAGCTCCTTCCCCCTCCCTGAACATGGAACAGAACCTTTCCTTTTCAGAAAACAGTTTCCAGGAATTGTATTCTTGTGCCTAAGGGCAAAAAAAGCCTCTTCTGTTTGATTTCCTTTTTGCAAGAGGTTGACCTGACCCTGCCTGACCAGAGACCTCTGAAGTGCTTCCAACCATTGCTGCTGGTTCCTCAGCACCTGCGTTAACAACAAATTATTAGGGCCTAAAAGCCCTAACATCCTTCAGTGTTACTGGACAATATCCTCCCTTTCTACTTACCTTGATCATTTTTATGTCCATCTTACCATCTCTAGGTTCTGGGGCTTCAGGAAACCAGAAATTTACCTGGGGCCATGCAAAGAGTTGGGGGAAGACAGGATGCCAAGTTTCCTTCTAGAGCCTTAGAAATATGGGGGGTTTCTACCTCTCTATGCCAAATAAATACCTCAGGTTTTGCAATTGTGAAATTACTTTAAAAGGACTCTATTGTGGCATAAAGATCAACATACCATTACCTTACAATAAAATAAAGACAAAACTACACCCACAGTGAAAGTAAGGAGGCAGAACTGGGGCCATTTCATTACACAGAATGACTGAGATGCCAGAATTTCCAGGTGCCTGTTTGAGGTTCAAGCCACAGCCAGCGCTGACACCAGGTGCTTCTCACCAAATTAGGGCTATCTGCCCTTTGGTCTTTAGAACACAGCCTCTGTATTCTCCCAATTTCAGGGTGTTCCCTTCAAAAATTATTTCAGATGGAGCATGTGAATCTTTCAAGGTGCAGTTTCACATTTTCTTTTCCAAGTTCTGCCACAGAACTCTATATACCTCAAAAATCTCTCCTCTTCCTTAGCTGGCCTTCATCCCACTTGGACCAACCACTCCTTTCTGATCCCTTCCTGTTCCTTTCTGGAGTCCCACCTGCGAGCCCTATATTTAAATCATCTTCTAACGCTGCTTCTCTGTCATGCTTATCTGAGGGGGGAAAGAGACGACTGCTTATCCACAGGCTGAATTCAAAATCCAAGGGAAACAACACAGGTAGGGAACTAGGCCTGCTGCTGAAGGTATAGTCCCTTGCCACATTCACCAAAGCAGGGAGAACAATGGCAGGTGTATGGGAAAACCTTCATTGAAAAGAGGAAAATCCCTCACATCTACCCAGAGGCTGCTATACACTGGCAAGAGACAGGTCACAGTAATTCAGTCTGCTTGCATTAATTTCACAACAAATGGCCATCCAAGTACTTCAGCAGGAAACAGCAACCTTGCCCTAAAGAAGCTATGTCAATTAATTATATAATGAAAATATTAATCCTTTAAAATGATGATTCTCTTTCAGCACTGGGAGTTGCAGAGCACAAAAAGGAAGATCTACTGATCTGCACTGGGGCTAAGACACTCTGAAGTTGTGGGCAAGAAGGTAAGATTTGGCAAGCCTTAACTCAGGAATAACTTGTATATTCTTTGTCTTCTCTCTTGCTGACAAAATGCTTACTGATCTCCTGGGCTTTGAAAAAACTCCTTGTGATGACTCCACACATACCAGTGAAAATAAAAACCTTTGAAACAGTAAAAATTCAACCTATGAAAGACAGGTTATCAAGTGCACAGTTAACATAAATAGCATCATCCACAGCATTTAAGCCCCAGATAGCAAAGGCACTGGTTTTTACTCTGCTTTTGCAGAAACTGACTGCAACTGAAAAAGCCAGGTATTCTAATTTAGCATCTTACATAGGCGAGTTATACCTGGCAGTGTTTGTATCAGTGTGGAAAAACAAAAAAAAGGCAACAAAGAGAAAGACTTAGCCACCCTTTCTGATGATCCAACCATAGGTGATCTAAGCTGCTCAAAGCATACCAAAGTGGCAGCACTCAAAGCAGACTTCACTTCAGGCAGGGCCAGTTGAACTGCTCTGCTCCTACATGGTTTCCATTGAAAGCAGCCTTCAGACCTTGTACAGGGATGACATCTGGCACACTGCCTTTGGGCACAAAGTCCTAACCAGCTGCCCTGGCCAAGTCTGAAGGGTGTTGAGAAGCAAAGGCTAGAAATTCACAGAGGCTTTACTGCCATGGGAAACTTGCTGAGCTATCAGATGCAATACCAGGTTTGAAATATAAGTAACTAGCGTTGTCTTACACTTGATCATCTTAAAATAACCCTGAACTTGTTGGGAAAGTCCATGGACCTCTGGTGCTACGGGTGACAGGTAAGTCTAACTTAAATAAAACGTTTTTCAACAGTGGACAGTAAAAGTCTGAGTCACAACCTTATCGCCAATTTCATTTCTTTCTTTTTTTTCCCCAAGTACATGCAAACAATTTGCCCCATCCTTCTGTTCTGCCAGTGCTCATGACTGCATGATTCAAACATAGAAAAGACTGTTCATTTACCTTTTAACTCTGCCTTATATCAAACGTCTCCCTCATCAACTCCCTTTGTTCCACAACAGACACAGGTGCACACCCACAAAAACAATACCATTACAGAGGGCTTCATACATATAAATCACCACAGCTTTCAGAGCCATTAACAAATCTAGATTATTAGCAGAGATTAAGAGCACTGTGCTGACATCACTAGACAAAATATACACTTTTTGCTTTACGGTTTTTCGTAGCCACACCCTCTCACCTTCTTTGCAATTGGATTCATTTTGACTTTGCTAACGCTTCTGCTAAACCACTCCTGCCCCAGTAAGAGCCTTGGAAAATAATCCAGGGGAAGCAGCAGGGTGACATCTGTCTCACTGTCAGCAAACACAACACCTGCATTACCCAGCAAGTGTTTAATCCAGCAGGTGTTGGTTCTAGCTGTTGCTTCCTTTCTGGTTAGGCTTGGGTGGATTTTAACCTACTCCTCATCTAAATAGCTGTTACTTCCTGTTGTCTTCTGCCCGACACCTGAGAATCCTTGTCACAGGACACTGAAAGACAGAACCTCACTTCAGTGTTATGAAGAAAACCCAGAAGAGAAACACATTCAATGCAACCTCCCAACAGCATATGCAGGAGAAAAGAGGAAAAGATGACTTTTCTAAGAATCACTCACCATTTTCAGACTTCTGCAGGGAGTACTTGTACTGGACATTTACAGAACTACCAGATCCCATGTTCTCCAACCAATGCTCCAACGTTGCAGTCTGGCCCAGTGTCACCAAAGCCACAAAAGGGATGCAGGGAAGACCATTTGGTCAGAACCAAAACAGCTGCAACACGTCCCACAGTGCCAAGAATCTACAATTAAATATATTAACACTTAATAATCAGATGGCCTCTCTTGTACCCAAGTACATTTTCCACTACCAGGTTTCTCCAGCTACTCTCAGACAATCGGATGAGGATTTCTGTCTCACTGCTTCACATTTCAAGTGAGCTTTATAAACAGGAATCAGTTCAGCACCTTGAGCTACTTGCATAAAAATAGGTACTGTGGTTGTTTGGCAAACATAAAAAGCTTTTCAATAGTGACCAAGAACTATTAAGAAGTCATTAAGAAGTAGTATGTACAGACAAATATTCTGTAGTATTCTGTAAACAAATAGTCACCTAGTCCCCTGTAAAGGATAACTCATTATAAGGGATGAACACACACCTGATATTTAATCTAACCACAGGTAGCAGGAAGGCAAGTCTAAAACAACAATTAGCTATCAGAAGAAAATAACCAGCTTTGTTAAACACTGCTTGCCTTCATCTCATGCATCTGCTCGGGTGTGGGAGCATATTAAGCCATCAACTGCTAATATCAAAGGTCGGACATCCAGACTTCAGTAAGCTCGCTGCTCTGGAAGCTCTGGTTAGGATAATCAGATCCTAATGCAAGATGCATTCAAACTCTGAAGTCGGTTAACTTTGAGGATAACCACAATGTCATTCACAATCAGATAATTTTGCTCTGGAAAATAGCCACATACTACTGCCAAAGCAGCCCCAGGCTGTATCACTGAAGAATTTAACAGGTTTTTATTTTCCTCTGAAATTCAGAGAAGAGAAAGCTGAGAAATGGAAGGAAGGAAATAAACACCTGTAAAAATGTTAAGACTGGTGTTGGCAGGAGAACACAGCTCAAAGTATGTTGAAGGGTCAGGACAGAGTAACTACAGAGGCACTTCTCCCCAGGAAAAGGAAAAGTCCTCCTCCTTTACTCACTTCCTGCAATCCTTTTGCCTCCTTCAATCCCTTTCACCTAACCCAGGTCTTGGCTCTCAAAATAGCTCGGATCCGCAGAAACGCTAATTGAAGGAGTGCGTCCGGTGTTGTGTAAGGTGAGCAATCCATGTTTGCTCAGGAAGGTGAGTCCTGCTCAGCCACACTGCACCATGGGCAGGGTCTAAAAAGCTGCAACACTCTCCCTTGCTCAGGATGCCTAGCTACACCATGGCATCCTCACAATGCCAAGTGGGCGACAACAGGGCTGCAATGCTCTCAGCAAAGAGCCTACATTGTTTTATTCTCACAACAGCATTTCATATCAGTCACAAATGGCCTGAAAACTGCCACATTACACCCAGTTTTACCTAGTGCCTTACCTTCTTTGTGCTCAAATAATGCAGGTACTCTGACGGCTTATTAACTGCTCCAAGGGACAATTGCACACAAAACTTAAAATTAGAGCTGTTGTTTGTAACCTCCTGCACCAGGGAAATCAGAGTTCAGGAAAAAGTTCAGAAGTTTTGAGCATAGGCCCATCTGGCCTATCCAAACAAAAATTTCACTTAAAACAGATCTGAGGATTTCAGCAAGTTTTAGCTTTCCAGAGAAGCAATGTTAAAAGTTATTCATTCTGCATTGGCCCCTTTCCCAGGAACTAGAATACTTGTATGTTACTTTTAAAACAATGGAGAAGAAATTTGAAGCCAACACTCAAGTATGGTATTCAGTAGTTTATCTGTTGAGGATGTGTTCAGGGGTACCACCTGCCTAAAAATAAAATATGAGTTTGGATTTGAAGTCACCTTTGGCAACAATTTTTTTCTCAATTCCTTCTCTCCCTGCCAAACGAACAAGCACTTATTATTTGGGCAGCCCTACTTGAAACATAATTCATCCATAGCGAGGGATATGTGCCCTAATTATCATATCACAAGGTTTCTCAACGGGTCCCTCTCAGGCAATTCCTGGAGCCCTGAAGTTTTTCATTTGCTGCCCTCAGATTTTTGTCAGGGGCACAACCTGAGCAAAGGAGCACACAGGACTAAGTCAGGCTCCAATGGAATCAAACCTGTTCCAAGGCTGGAAGGACTGAGGAAGAAACAGAACCAGTCCGACTGCTCAGCACGTGGGATCCTTCCTCATCCACCCAACAGTGACACCAATCCTTCCCTTCCTAAATTTCTGCACCTAAGAAAGGGAAGACAAAATGGGAAGACCCATCCAGGCAGAGCCTCAAAGACTGGACAAACAGCAGCAGCATCACTTGAGGTACACGTTATACTGAATTTCCAGGTAAGAAACAGGATCCATCCAGGAAACAGTTAGCTACCAACCACTCCCTCCTCATCTTGCTCTTGGCTCAAATAGCACTCCTGCAGAGATAGTTCATTCTCTGTGATGCAATTTAGCAGGCCTCTGCAAGAGGTTTTCCTCAGACCTTGGCACAGGGCTGTCCCTGGTACACACCAAGGCACAGAGCACCTGCCAGCAGACACCCACACTCTGTAAAGCCAGGTGACAAAAGCCAGTGCACACATTTCAACCACCACTAAAAAGTCATGGACTCGTGAGCCCCACACGGATACAGACAATGGAACACCAAGTGTTCACCAAGTGGACAGTGGACACTAAGTTCAGGCCTCAGGAGAAGGCCACACACACACACAAGATGCACATTTCCTGACCACCAGAGGTAATGTTTCACAGGCAGGAGAGAGAGCAGATAGAATCCAGGCACTTCTCGAGCCATTGGGTAACACAATTCTTGCAACTCTTCAAACACAAGCAGAGGACTTGTTCAATAACACCATCCAGTAGCCCATAAAATTCAGAAAAGGGCACCTTGCACAAATCCACTTGAGTCAATCACCCCAAAACACAAACAAAGCCTAGGTAAATTTCCTGGCTTAGCCTGATGATTTTAACTTCTCTGAAACTAAAGCAAGGGACAGTACTCTGAACCAAATCCTACATGCTGGGAACTTGTGCACATCATAGATGTTGGAGAATGTCATGCTGAACCCACAGGACCTGCCAGAAATAACTCAGCTAATGAGAAACCTGCTCCTAGGAAAGATGTTATTTCATTTATCATGAATAGGATGCCCACTAACCTGACAGTTTTATAGACATTCCAGCAATGGAGGGAACAGGTGAGCAGAATATGCAAGGCAACAGGACATAACAGACTAGGAAGTTTACTAGGGAAAAACCTAAGGGAGAAGTTGGAGGAAACAAATTTTAAGTTCTGCTAAAAGAAACAGCAAGAGTTGAAGAGCTACAGATAAATTAAAAAACAATCAAATGCTTGTCCCAAGGATAAAAATGCTAGCTGGCACTAGGGACAGTGATGATCCTGCCTTGCCTCAGAGTAAATACCTATGTGTGGCCCACGTGCACACCAGACCTGGCACCACTCGTAGCTGCAAACAAGATGGTCAAGTGTGCTGTATTTCAAAACACACCCACAGTTACTGCAGTGCCAAAAAGGGAAATTACAGATACAAAACTCCCAAATGCAGTTTTATACACCTTGGCATACAAAAAGGATGTTTTACCTCAAAGTATAAGCTATTTCTGAACACAAAACCCCGTTGCTAAGAATTAAAAAGAAAAACTTACCTTGCCAAGTCCTGAGGTATGGATTTGTGGAGATAAACACAAGAGAAGCTTTCCACCTGATAAGTTTTGGTTGTATTCTGTACTCAAATGATGGATGATTTCTGATGCTATTGGCTTACTTACAGATGCAAAATCTCTTCCTCAGAACGCAAATAATAAAGTAAGGTGTTCCCTTGGGCAGGCAAAACAACAGGCCATGTCTCTATGCACGTGCAACCCAGAACTGGTGCAGACACTTTGATTTATTTACTGCCCAGTTATGAACAGTCTTAAGAATCCTCTACCATGTGATGCTTAATAAAGGCTACAGATCTCAACTGGATTAGGATTACTCAAGGGATTATGAATGAGAAACACAGCATGTTGGCCTGTCTCATCCTAGGAGTCAGCTCTCACACACTTTCAAGCTGCCCTCTGCTAAATGTAAACTTCTGGAGGAAAAAGAAATCAAGGTTTCACTCCTTATTTGTGTCGGGCTGAAAAAGTGTTTGGGGGTTTGTAGCTAGGCAGTCTCTAGTGCAGAAAGGAAGGGATGTGGAAAAAACGAGGATAATTTACCTCATTTTATTACTCCACAAATCCAGGGCTTGAGAAAGCAGGAAAATAACTGTTCTTTCCAGTCTTTAAAAAGTGTACACACAAAGCAGAGGAAATCTCAAACAACTGTGATTAGCAAGCTATTCAAATCACCAGCAATCAGCTTCCTTTTTTAAAAAAGCCATGTTGATAAAGTCATAGAATACCAGGCTAGAGAAATACCTTTGAGATGTTTTGGTTCGGTCTTTCTTGGGAAAAATTCCCATAAAACATCCAAACCTACCAAAACAAACCAATCACTGCTACATTTTTATATTTCCAGCATTAAGATGGTTTTCTATTAACCATCACAGCTCTGCGTTTTTATCAAACTTCAGATACTGAGTATCTTATCACAAGCACCTTAGATACTCACAGTCTGAATTACCTAAGTTCTAAGATGTATCACTTACCAGTTCATCGGTATTTTTATTTTTAGCAGGAAGTTATATATTCTTTGGTTAGCAGAAAAGCGTTCAAGGTGGCAGAAAGACTTTATTTTATAGTTAACCAGCGTTTTGGAGTGCTGGTTACCACAGAAAATGCAAGGCTTTCAAGAAAGTAATTTATAAGGGAAAAAACCCACCACATTCCTTACTGGTTTAAACCTCATAACCCCAAGCAGCTGCCAAGCCACAAACACAACAGTGGAAGTAAATTCTTTCCTGAATATTCATAGGTACTAAGAACTTTGCAGATTGTTCGTACACATTGAAACAAATACATTTAGCCAAATTTATGTACCAGAGGGTCTGGGCACACCCCTGCCAGAGGATAATCAGCCTAATGCTGCAGAGGTCAGGAGACTACACAGAGCCACACCTGTAAGGATCCTGTAGCCGTGGGTGGCTGTTATTTAAAGAAAACTTGGTGGGATGACAAATCACTGCCTACTCTGTGAATTAAAGCAATGGCATTCTGGACTCTCAAAGATAGTGACCATTTTAAAATCTTCCTCCAGGAACTCCCAATTTCTCATCTAGCTGCTGTACATGGCTGTCTAAACTGGGTCAAGGCAAAGCTGGCAGCACTTTTATCCAGGCAGGAGGAGAGGATGCAGGTAAGTAGGTTATGAGACTCAGCACAAGGAGATAAAGGGCCCTCATCTCCAGAAGGTGTTCTCAGAGCAGCTTGCATAACCCCTGCACACACACCACAGCCAGCATGGCATGGATCTGCAAGTGATGCTCTGTCACCTTCACACAGGTGACACTTTAGCCGGTAAGGAAGGGCACTTAGCAGCTTCACCTGAAGGTACACACTGGTCTTGACTCTTCATATCCCTCAGTATTTCTGGAGCACACCTAAGTGTCTAAACTCAATAAACAGTCACAGCACAACCTGACAAAAACCCACTGCTCTGCACTGTAAAACAACATGTTAGCTTTTACTGCAGGTAACTTGATCTGAATCTACAAAAACAAATTCAAAACAACTGTTTTTTAACCTCACTGCTACCCAACACAACCTCCTCTCACCTACCAAGGAGTCAAGTGCATTACCACAATTGCTGAAACAGCTCCTCAGTTCTGATAAATAAAACACCTGTAGTCTACAGCTGTGCACCCTGCACACTGCTGCATCTGCCCCTGCTAGGCCCAGGATCAACAACTCCTCAGAGATAAGGGAAAAGGATCATGACATAGAAGTAACCTCACAAGCCCCCATACATCAAGCTGTCAGCTGAATATTTTTATTTAATTATTTATGCAAATAATTATTAAAATAAATTATTATTAATTAAAATGAATAATAGACCTACAGGCTATGTAAATTACAAAACGTATTTATTAGTCAGCACAGAAGTACATTGCAGTTGCACAACTCTTACCAAAATTATACAAGCCATTTTTACCCATCAACATCTACTAGAGCCACAATTTAGTTGCAAGTTTCAAACTTCGATTACAGGCCATTAACAGGATCACCTGCAACACTTGAAAGAGTTAGCAAATCACTGGTTCCTGAATGGTTCACATCAGTCACAAACCAAAGCCACTGTATTGCTCCCAGGAGTGATTTTAAAAGCATTTATTAGTCTTGCACAGCTTCAGCTTCTCACTCTGTGTGTTGAACTAGAAAAATAGGCAAGAGAGCACAGGTTTGTTCAAAGTTAAGTGAAAAACAAGTTCTACACAATCTCTAGAAGGAATTCCTCTAGCTAAAATCAGATCTGACAGAACTGCTGTAAATGTAATAGCAATAATATTTTTTTTAAAACTCTTTAAACTGGAACTCAGTTTTTTGTGCTCTTGCCGAGGCCATGTAACCAGTTTCTTGGTAGAGGAATTCTCATCTCTCTGAAGCTGTCCCATGAGGCACCTTCTGAGCTCAAGAACTTGGACATTTTCTGTACATTCTCAGGACAGAGCCCCCAAAGGATGCTGCTCACATGCAGTCACTGGTGAGCAGCCATTAGTAACAGAGCTTGATTTTTCTCCGTGTTAAGTGCACCATCCCTTCCTGTTGGGATTCAGTTCCCTCTGGCAGGGCTTCCCATAATCATCCACCTGGAAACAAGCAAGTGCCACAGTGAGGAGTGGTAAAAAGAGCCAGAGAGTGCTAAAACATTCCTAGAGGGAACCTCTACTTTTAGGTGGCAACAACCATCCCTTCCTCTCAGATCAAAACTCTTAAGATCATCTCCAAGAGTTTCACTAAGAGTCAGTATTTAGCTCCCTCTAAAACAAGGGAAGGTGTTTATCCAAGGGCAATATCCAAGCAGAATCAGGAATTCAGAGTGGGCCACCAGAGTGCCACTGCAATGCTTGGTCCCTGAGTGAGTCTGCAGCTCAAATGGCTGTGTAAGTACAGATGCCACTTACACGTGTGCCACTTGCTCCTCTTCACTCCTCCGTTCTCATCCACGTCTGGTAGCGGTCTGGGAGTGCAGCGCTCATCACTGTGGTGTACACTGTGTTACTGGCAGGCAAAGAGCAACAGTGAGTGACATTCCAAAGGCAGCAAGGGCAACTAAGCTACCCAGAAAAGCAGTTGTGGATTAGGAGAAGAGACTGATCAAATTAAAGACTGGTGGCACTAATTTTTAGTGTTCTTCCCCCCACACAGCACAACAGAGCAACTGTATTAAACCATTGGTACTGTGTCTGTATCACCGCTGAGATGAACCTTTTCCTTTCCCCATTTCCTCACACTGACAAGACAGAGGAGAGGTAGAGAAAGCCATTGGCAAGCTCCAATGACAATGACAGACACAGAGAATATACCCAGCTCCAGGTCAAAGCAAGCCGTACCATGATAACCTGCAAAAGTGCAATTTCTGGAACAACATAGAAGAATGGTATACTGAAATACATCTTTTGGAAACCCAGGAAATGGTATCTAAAAGCTTAAGCCCACTTACTTTATTACATGGAATCAGAGCTGTATCAGAACATGCAGAAAAAGCTACTGTCAGTGTTAACACCAACCCAAAAACGCAGGCAAAGGCGTCAGTGTGACACCCAGCTGCTCCTCCAAAGGACTCATTTGTTTCACTACTCCAAAGCCATTTCCCATAACCAGACTGAGCCCAAACAAGGGCAGCTCCCTAACTGAAATGATAGAACCAAAAGGAACTGAGTTGTGGAAGTGAAAATAGAGGGTCATGAGCACAAGCCAAAATCTAAGCTGGGAAACAAGACTCAGACACCTAAGGAAGATCCTAAGGAAGCCTGGTGTACTTTCGAGCGGCCTGAGGCACAGCATGAGGCACAGATGAACATCTCTCAATCTAATACTTACTTGTTCAAGACTGGCTTCACTGACAAGACCTGTACAGAAAATTTGAAGAGTTGTCATTTGGGTAGGCAAAGAGGGAAATAAATGACTATTTAGAAACAGCAGTAGGATGAAGTTATGAAAGGAGTAACAAGCTCAAGGACTTGCCCTCTCTTTTAAACATCAGAACCTTTTACAGAAGTACTTCCAAAAAAGCCCTCTGAAAAATTCCAATTCCCAAAGCTCACCATGTTGAACACTGAGTGCCTGTGCTTGAAATAAGAAATTGCTCCAAAATGATGGGATTCACCTCCTGAACTGGACAACTGTTACAGAAGGCCTAAATACGAGTCCAGAAGCATTTTGAACAACTTTCAGTCTTCAACCCCCTACAGATAGCTGGGCAGTAAACCTTGTTCCCCACAATAAAGCACAGCTTTTACACCCCTGATAAAACAACACTTCTGCTTTGTGAAAGAACTCAAAGAGCAACTCACAAGGCAAAATTTGAGAAATACCTTGAAGAGTGTATCAAAGTTGATGTTGTGCTGTCCAGTAGCATTGAGAGCTTTGATGGCTGCAGTTCTGTGGGAAAGCAACACATTATCAATTAAACACACTTGTCTGTTCCAAAGGCTACAAAGCACCAACACAAACATGTTACTACTGAAGGTCTTGACACTGAAATGCCTGCTTAGGTCTAAAATAACCCCAAGTTGTGTGAGTGGATCTCATCTCACAGTGTTGAAGCTCCTGTTACTACTCCATTGAGTACATACCAAGAAGGAGCCTGCCAGTCCCTTTTTGCACACTACACAGCCTAAAAATCCCATGCAAGCACCTTCCTAGTGTCATCCAATACTTTGGCACTGTCAATATAAGTCATTTACCTTCTACTAAATTTTGCTCTCGGAGCAAGTTTTTGGCTTATATTTGCAATTTCTTGTTATTTATGCTAATCATCGTGTCACACTCTTTCCTCTGGCATCTGTGAATACTGTGTACACTGTATGTATTCCCTTCAGAGTGGCATTGCAGGGACTGCATGGGCTGCTTTGCCAAGGAGCAAACACCTGCCCATACATCCAGCCACTTTCAGTACACACGTTCTCTCCCCACAGAGCTTCCAGTCAATTCACCTGCGATCATCACAAGGGGGAGGGGTGGTCCAATGGTCATAGTTGGTCTCCACACGAAACCACCTGTAAGAAGCATACAAGCAAACAAAAGGTGAATCAGTAGGTAATGCATTGAGTCCAACAATCAGTTTCCCTATATTGCCAAAAGGAAAAAAACTCCCTCAAAAGGCAACTCCCTCTGCTTGCTGCAAGCCCAAGGGCTCCATGCTGGTAGATCTAACAGCCTTTACCATGAACTAAGAGGAACAGTGGGTGAGCTCTCATCTCCTGCTGTAACCACAACCAAGAGGTGCTCCCATCTCTCAAGGAAGTTGTGCCACTAAGCCAACCACTCAGAGGGGAATGTGAAGCTAAAATAAAGGAGATTTTTCCTACTTACTGTCCATCTAAGGGATTGAGAGGCCACAGATCTACTGGCCCTCTTCTATTCCTCGTGATGACCATGCCTTCTTTGGGTGAGACACCTCCCACAATATAGTAAACTTCAGCAATGATGGGAATGCTGGCCAGTCTGAGAACAGCAGCCTGGAAGTCCTCTGCTTCACTCAGGGTCTGACACAGCAAGGAGATGACAGTGAGGTTAAGCACAAAAACAAGCACTGGGACATCCTCAAAAAAACAAAGGTCCAGCTTTATACAAAATGGTAATTGACTCTGAAGTGTTACTTGAAAATATTATTAACACAGCAACACAAGAAATAGTGTAAAATAAGCCCTGGCACAGGTATTCACCATCTAGGAGGACAGCTGTCTTAACTGCTCACGACACAAGTCACAGCTAGCTGAAACACTGCCTAGGGAGCAAGTCTTGGCACAGCTTCTCGGGACCTTTGGCACTGGAGGTTGCCCTCCAGAATTGCCTCATTACTGAATACAGGGTCCACACTTCATTTCTCCTGAGAAATCCACTTGCTTATCAAGTTGCTAAGTCTTCTGTGCCCCTGATTCTAATTTACTAATGTTTAAGGACAAATGTGACAGGACTGTGAAATGCACGAACAAATCGGTGCACTTACATCTCGCACAAGCCAGCTGACAGGGTAATTCCTGTTGAGGAAAGCAGCTATAGCATTTTCCCACCAGCTACCACCTTCTGGGGAGAAAAGAAAATTACTATACATAGAATTTATATACAGTGAGACAGGGTAGGTGCCAAACAGCACAAAATAACATTTTACTGAAATGTCAACAAGGAGCACAACCTTCAGGTGAAATATATACAGCCAACATAATTCCAACTGACAGTCAGCCACAGCAGCTGGACTAACACACCTGCATTCCAGAAAGCATCTCAGACCTGTCATGACAGGAGTGATAATCACCTCATTACTCATCTTACTGAAATATTAAAACAGGACTAATTTCACAGAAATAATAAAATAGCTAAAAAAGAGGTAGTAATAGCATTTGTGTTACTGAGAAAAATGAGCCAAGTGCAACAACCAGAAGGCCAAGTTTGGTACTACTGAAACACTCCTACTTAGCAAAACACAACAAAAAAACCAAAACAAAAATCAGTCTGCTTGTCACTTGATAGACCCTGATTTAGTCATCCTGCTTCCCAGGCGTAGGTCACATGCTCATGTCCCTCAATTTGTAGTTCAGTTGGAAGGAACTGAAAACAGCTTTCACTTGAGATAAACCAGCAAGCAGTCAGCAGCAGCCCATGGACAGGACTGCAGCACATGTGGAGTGAACAGAGGATGTGGAGAGACAGAGGACTTTGGTATACAAGATTTCCTCCATCAGGCCTTTCCACAGACTCAATAAACACTTAATACTTGCCTTTAAGCTGAAGTAAAAGCAGTCTGCCCCAATAACTGGAGCCCAGGGCACTCCAGTTTCGAAAGGATTAACTAACTACTCTGGAATCGAAGCAGTGTGCATGTCAACTATGGGAAGAATTTAGTGAATCCAACATGAACAAAACAAACACGAAGCAAGAGGTGCAAATGCTCCATAGCAGAATCCCTACTCAGAGGTAATGTCCTGGTGCAACACATACAGTGAATATTGTTTGCACAGCTAAAGAGTTGAAGAACAGACTGTTCAAGATGGAAAAGAAACATGCTTATCACCATCACAAGGGAAAAATAAACATTTTAGATGGTGGTTCTGAAAATACATTATTGCCAGTTCTCAGAAAAACCTAATAAAGAAAAGCACAGCTTCTTTAAAGGAATAAGGGGGTAAGAGCAGACAACTTGCCAAGCTTTGACTTGTGAAACTGAAGTCCTGATGAACAAGGAAGGCAGTGACCTTTCCATGCCTTCCCCATTGCTACAAGTTTTAGTTCTCAGTAGTGACATCCCTCTACTCTGCTCCACCACTGATCTTGCTCAACTGCCTTTCCAGTGTCTCCAGGCATTCCCCCAAACCCTGCTGCCTTTGCCCTAGATTTCCCCTCCTCTCTTTCCAGCTGCCTTATGGCAGTTATGAGGCCAGACAACCATGGAACACAGCAAAAGCATGAGAGGAGCCTTTTCTTTGCTGTCCAAACTGCATCTTGTTATCTCAGCCCCATCTCTGCACCACACCACATCTGTTACAGCATTCCCAAGCCTTTCCCCATCCTTGGATGCTTTCAGCTCAGGTGACACTGCTGACAAATATCTTCTCCTACACAGAGCCAAAACCAGGCAGATGTGCTTTCACTCCCTGAGGGCAAGGCAAGGCATCGAACCTCAGATCCTTCCTGGCAACCTTAACCTCATTGTTCCCTCTGAGAGAAAAAGGCCAGGGCAGGCAACAACAACAGAAACAACACACAATATGTACTGTGGCAGACATTTCCTTTACCTCGTTCATTTCCAGAGATGGTGAACTTGTGTGGACTTTGCCCAGTCCATAAACCCACATAACCAAGAAATGTGGTGCCTTGGTACGCAACCTGAAACCAGGAAGGAGAGCAGTTGAGCATTCTGGAACAGAACACAGCTGGAACCTGCAGCCTCTACTTCTTTTTATAGCTGTCATACCTATATAACTACAGCACTCTGTGCCTTCAGTCACAGGAAAACGTGCCAAGTGAATTATGAAGGGACTCAGGTCTCAAACTCACAGCATTTCAGTTGTTTGTGATCACGAACAGCAACATAACTTACACTCGGGTAAAACTGCCAAGCAACAAGCAGCAACTTTTCCATTCCTTCTTTGAGCATCTTTTAGAAATAGTATCTTCAACACCAGATTAAGCTGCTCTACTTTTTCCAGTCTATCACCATGAACTGGATTTCCAGAAAGCAAAGAAAATCAGCATTCATCCCACACTCCTGGAGCATAACTGTGCTGCTCTAACAATCCAGTATATCTGGGATGGGAACCCCATTCCCCCATCTCAGCAGCTATAGGGCTGTCCCATTCTTCACAGATCAGCCCCAGCCACGCCATCCCCAGACCATACCTGCCCACCCTTTAGAAACTGCACATCCACTGTGATCTTGCTCAATATATCGACAAAAGCGTAATCCAGGTTGCGGCCGTGGTAAATGTTCCCTCTGTCATCCTGAGCCACAATGCTGGTACAGAACCTGCAAACACAGCAGGGCAGGCCATGACTGAAGGCACAGCTCTGGCACTGCTTGGAGTATTCTAGCTGTAAGAGCTCAGCCTTCCAGCAGCAATTGAACTGATGCTCTGCTAAGTGCTTTAGTCATGTTACCATACAACGAGGAGTCCACAGCAGGTCAGAAATTACAGCGCAAGCAGGAAGCAGCACTTCTACTCAGGATAAACAATTATTTCATTTCCCAAGTCATAATAAAAAGATGACAGCTAAAAGCATCCATAAAGTGTTGCACTTTCTGCATTTAATTCTGATGATTTCATTTCCATTTGGACTCCTGGATAATTTTAATCACAAGTATCTAAGTTCAAATGAAGTCCCATCAATGAAACGGAAAAACATTGGGTCAAGTATCAGCCATTTCAATAACAGACTATTCTCTAAAACAGGAAGAGTGCTCTAACTTCTTGTGTAACAAGTTTAGTTTCATTAAAACAGTTTTTTTGGTGGAGCATATTGGATTAGCAGGGAATTAACTTATTTTATCTGTAGTTTTGAGCTGGTTATTTCAGTGATGCATAACTCTGCCTGTTTAAAATATAAAGGTAAAAAATTCTTCACATAGGTAGGCTATTCCAGCTGATGGTGGTCTTTTAGTAAGCAGGCTGAGAAACTGAGTTCACCAGGATGAAGTATGGCAAGTATCCTCTGTGAAACACTAAACCAGCCAGCACTCAAAGGTATCATATTCACTATTAGTCCTTACTAAAAAAAGACTATAAACTGAGTACTACACATTAAGAAAAAAAAAAATCCAAATGCAAACAAGGGGCCACATGCCTTGATATTTTTAAAATGTCTATGGAGAAATATTTTAGCCTCCCCAGAAGCAACACCAAGTGTTGGTTATTCTCCTACACCATGTTTCTAGAGGAAAAAAAACAATGAAACTGAGGATTTTTTCACTGAGATTTTGTTTGTTGCCATAAATCTGCTACAGTAGTTTTCCACTGTTCACATCAGGTAGTGATCTTACGCAGCCATTGTGAACCAAAAAGTAGTTTAGTAGTAACTTGCTCTCAGACAAATAAGAGAGCAACTAATTATTCTAGCCTCCTTTTTGGAAACTTTTCAGTAACAAGGAACATAACATCATCTTCAAACATAAATGGTCTCTACTTTTGGATGGACATACCTTACCGGCAAAAATGATTCTCGGATTTGAATACATTTATCTAAGCGTACATGCACGAAACCATGACAGAGATGCTACTTGTACTTGCCAATAGAAAACATAACTGTTTCTCGTTCCATTCAGCATTCCACCTGCCGAAAGAGAATGAGCCCTCCCGGCTGAACAGATGAAGGGGTCTCAGTGTGGATCCCCCCGTGCCTTCTGCGCTGAATAAGAGCTCTACACCCACCCGTACGACACCGGGTAAGTACCCCACACTTACGCAGTGGACTCATAGGCGAAGTTCAGCAGGATTCCATCTCCGAGATCCACTCCCAGTGCTTTGCACATCCCCGCGATCTCTCCCGCGAAGGGCTGCGGCATGAAAGCCTCCAGTTGTGCTGCTATGGGTTGGATGACCTGGTGAACCCATCTCGGTACCCTCTCGCTGCAAGACACACCGAGGGGTTAGCGGAGAGCAGGCCAGCGGCTCCCCCCCTCCCAGCCGGCAGCCTGCCGTGCTCCGCCAGCCGTGCCGAGCCCCCGGTGCCCCCGGCCGGCCGCACGCACTCGATGATCCGCCGGACAGCGGCGCGCAGGAAGGCGGGCTCGAAGTGCCGCAGCACGGGCAGCCAGCGCTGCTCGGCCGGGCTGTCCAGGCTCACGTTGCAGCGCAGAGGGGCCGCAGCCGCCGCCGCCCCGAACAGCAGCGCCAGCAGCGCCCACGGCCCGCAGCCCATGGCGCACGGTGCGGCGGCGCTGCCCCGGGGCCAGCCCGTCCTTCCCCGCGCCGAGGGACCCGCCCCGGGGCGTCACCGCCCGCCCGCTCCCGGCAGCTCGGGACACGGCACCCGCAGCAGCACATACACGGCACCGGGAACGGGCAGGGCCCCGGAGAGCTGCTCAAAGCCGGTCCCACACTACCGCTTCCACTGCGAGGGCAGAGGGGACAAAGTCACGCCTGGCTGAGCTGTCAGCACGCTGCCTCACACAGCAAGGCTGTCAACAAGAGGGAAAAGGGAAGAGACGAGACTAGACACTTGTCCTCAACCGCGAGGACAAAAAATTAACACTCCCTTTCAATGTCAGAGGTTACTCGTTTCTGGACACATGCACAAGAAGGGAAACTGCTTAGCTGTTCAGCCGGAAAAACGCCCCCACCAGCACAACTGTGGGTTACAGATTGCACTTTCCTTCTTCTCCCCCTACCTTTGGCTGCAGCCCCTGCTCCACACTCCATCCCTACAGCACTCCAGCTCCCAGCTGTACATGTTCCTCCTCCACCTGAGAGCTTCTCTGCTCTCCTTGCCCTTCCCTCAGCAGGAACACATAATTTGGATAAAACATACAAAGCTGTAAAAAAAAATTCTACTTATCCCTTCACTCCCTGAAGCCTCTCAAGATTTTTTTTTCTCTAGGAAGCAGTGTGACAACAAAGCCAACAAAACAAAAACCATAGAAGAAAGAATTTAAGTTAATACAAATATACATTCAACAAATAGCTAAGTGAATTCCCACATGGGATATGAATGTTATTCTGGCTTCCTAAAAAGAAAGGAAAAGAGCACAGATAAATTTAGTATTATTAAACTGGCCAAAACCAGCTGCTTACACAGCAGCTCACTCTGTCTGCACAGTCACTCCCCTAAGACAGCCATTATACCCACGTGATATGTGACATATGACAGATACTATATCCACATGCTTTATAGACTGATCAGAATATTCTTTTTCCTTTCTGTTGCTTGTCATTAATTGCCTCAAATAGAATTTTTACCATACAGTTGTGTATTTTAATAGTTACATATACAAAACCCACTGTAAGTAAATTACATTAATTAAAAATCTAATTGCTTTCTTCCCCAGAATGCTTTAAAAACAAACTCAAATTCTCCAAGGATTAAGGCCTCTGTCCTATTGATGCAGTATCCATTAGCTTGCAAGAGTTCCATTTGCATTTCCCAGTAGATCAGAGCTAAATCCATAAGGCACCACCGTCCTCCTTGTCCTCAGGGTGGTGGTGGGTGGAAATAAGCATCTTCAGGGCGATTTCTTCAAAGGTGATGAAACTCTCTCCAGCATTTATTTTAGCAGCTGTTTTCTCTTTTTCAGAAGTGCATCTCTAAGAGCCAGCTAACCACAAAACAAGAGGGGAATATTCAGGTAAGGAGCATAATAACTGAGCAAACACCAAACAGGACAATTACCACATCACAACTCTTTGCCTTTTCTTTAGCCTCTGATCAAAACACTAAGAGCTCATCAGCTCAAACTGGGAACAGCAATGCAAATACTAACAATTACAGTGGCAGAAACACTGGGGTTATTTACCTCAACTCCACAGTACAATTAAAGGGTGGGGCATCACCAAAGCCTATGCAATGAAGTTTAGAACAAACTATTCTATCGACTCATTTGAAACAGAAGGGATCAAAGTTACAGTTCAGCTGAGAGGTAAGTCAAATTGGGCTTTTGTGAAGGACTATGACAAAACTACTTTTCAAGGGGGAAGGAGGAATTTTTATGAGTGCTATTATCACCTTTAAGAGATATTATTGTGCTTCAAACATGTTTTAAGCTAGTAAAGGAGCTAGCTCTGGATTATTGCAAGCAGGCCATTTTATCTTACCACCAGGAGGTGCAGCAGAACGCAGCACCATACAACTATGAGCCTCCAACCCACCCAAAACACTTTTGGTTAACAGACTGGTGCTGTAGCCTAACTTGCATGGGAAACAAGTATGAATAAATACTGTTCAGCCATTACATTTGAATTTAAAACATTAATAAAGACAAAATCCTTCAAGACTTTTTTTAGAATAACTGATCCAAGTGTAACTATAGATAGCAGTTTCCTCCAAGTGCCTGGATTGTTCATTTGCAGCCTATCTGGTGTGTTTTGAGACGTGCTGTCAATGTTATCAGCCTTAACTGAGGTGAAGCAGAATGATGTCAAATAACCATCTGGAGGGTATACTAGTCCACATCCCTCCTGCCCAACAGAAAAAACTTCAGATATTCTCTACTGAGTCTACTAATAGTTCCTGTGTTGCCCTTCCTAAGCCAAGAAATTGCAGATAAACCTCATTTAGATAACATGTATGATCCTGGAAACAATACAAAATTCAAGCAGCATGTAAACACTTGCACAAAACACAATCTGGGAAGAAAAAAAAACGGACCACTGGATTATTCTACAAGTTACTTCAACGCATTTGGATGAGTGGAGTTAATAACACCTCGTAAAACCCTGGACTGGCAGGGCCTTCACCACTGAGAGCAGCATCTGTGTCACACTGTTTGACTGAAATAAATTTTTTCTTAACAGCAGCTACAAGGAGTTAATAAATAGCATTTGCATCTATTCCTCAGGAACATTTGTGCCAAGCTTTTAGATGACTCTGGGCCAGGAGAAATGAGTCTGTGATAGAACAGTAACAAGAGAAAGGTCAGGCACTATGGAGAGTGAACCATCATCTGCAAAGTAGCTCTGCCTCTGGGGCAGGACTCGGGCAAGCCAAGCCACAGGCTTTCTCTGAGTTCCAGCAGCACCACCCCTGCATCACAAATGAGTGCTCACACTGCCCCATCCATCTCAACATGAAACATTACCTGTTTCTCCCTAAAGGAACGCTTGTTCTTGGTCCGGACACTATGGCTGTATCTCATCATCATGAAATTCTTCTTCTTCTGCTTTTCTTTGTTGGAAGAGCTGGCAAATGGGTTAATTCTGGTTTTCTTTTTCACAAATTCTTTTCTGTCTGTTTTTCCAGCCTAGAATAGACAGTGCAATAGAGCAACAGGGAGTCATTTTCCTTCACCTACCATCAACATCTCCTGCCTAATGGTAACAGGGTCTATGGCAGTAACAACAAATCTGGGTTCAGGATGACTGTGTTCATATATGCCTTCTCCCATAATGGCTGTATTTATTAAGTCACAGTGACAATTGGATCCGTTTGCCTTTTCATGGTCACATGTGACCAGCAGGAGATGGTTTATTTGTTACAGCCAAGATGCAACAGCAAAGAACCAAACAGACCACCTCAAAACCCACACAGCAGCTGGGCACCTATCTTAGATATGCAGCCTCAGCATTTCCTCCTGCACAAGACAGACCCAAACCCAGAAGGACACGATGCAGAACGTGCTGGTTCCTCACCTTTGCAGTTGCCAATCTGGTCTCCTTGTCTGACTTGGGCTTCTTATGCAGATGTTCAATATCTCTGAGTGAAAGTAACTCCCCCCTACACATAAAACCAATAAATGTCACCACACAAAACTACATCTGGCAAGGAAAACAAGCTGCCCTCTTCACTCTTGGTCTCTCACCCATCTTAGGCCACTGTCTCACCATTCATTCAGACACAAACACTTCTTGTTCCCTTTGCACTGTTCCTTGTGTGGGATATCCATTACAAAAGTCAACCACTTATTTTTCAAGTCCTACTTTTTTCAACCAGTTTAAGAAACAGTGGAGCTATAACCGGGCAGCTATTGCTACAACCCCCCTCCATGCCTCTTGGCCTGAGCAAATCAAACAAGCTCCTTCCATAAGCTCATGTCTTTTTCCCAGTTATAAGCAAACCCCCAGCCCAGAATCCATTTTAAGCTGTGGCTGTCACCATGGAACACTGATCAACAGCAGAGCTCTGTGCTCTGCTGCAATGAAGAGCTTCATCAGTAGAGGATAGCTAAGAAAAGTACTCAAAGGCCATATCCTACCTGCCCTCCTCCTCCTCTTCATCTTCTATTTCAATATATTTCCGCTTTGCAGCTCTGCCAGGAGCAGAATTAAGTTCTTTGGAAAGCTGGGCAAGACGTATTTTCTTGAAGTCTTCCTGAGTTAGCAGCCTGCTTGTACTGACTGCTGCAGCTTTGGCTTTTCGTTCCTCTATGGGCATGCTTTTCACTTTTTCTGCCTTTGGAAAAGAGGAAGGTACAAAAGAATCTGAGCTTGGCAAACCACTCCTGTGCCACAATCCATGACCCTCGCCTCCCAAATACACATCATGCAACAGCAATACTGTTGGGAAGTGCTACAACCAGATGGCAGGATTTTTCCTTGTCTCATATCCATAGTGCCTGAATGGAGCACGTACACCAGACTTTGGGAGTAAAAGCTCTCACCTGATTATCACAGCTCTGAAAACATCTGATGAATTTCATGAAAACATTGATGAAAACACAGAGCCCTGAGAGAGAACTCCTTCTCCCCTCCCACCCTAACAATATGTATACTTCAGCAGTTCTGCTGAACAGCACTTGAGCCTCACTGCTTCAGGACAGCTCGCTCTCAAGGCCTGGGTGGGTATTTAAGAGCAGCTACATGAAGGTGAAGAGCAGGAGGATCTGGTCTGTGATTAACAAGACTCATTTCTATTTGGAATAGCGAAGACTTGGTACTCACTACTTGCTGCTGCTCCTCGTCTGAGGAGTGATGCACATCGATCCATTCTCCATCGTCATTGTCCTCCTCCTCACTCAGACTAGCACTTTCCCAGCCATCTGCTCGGGGAACAAGTACAGAGCTGTCAACACAAATTCATCTTCACTACCCAGATTGGCAATAACTGATGCTTGGATCACCTGCTCTTGCTGCCTTGGATTTATTTCACCCATCTCCCAATTGCATTTTGCCCCAAGATACCCATGCTATGCTCTGCAAAGCTCAACTCATCTCCAGAGCAAGATCCTGAAAGCAAGGTGCATTTGGACAGCCTGAAGCACCACAGAAGTT